CCCCGAGAACAAAGGGGTCTTGCCTTATATACTCTTGCAAGCAGGTTACAGAAGTGAAACACAAAGTTTAACACATATATGGTTACTTGTAATTTCATTGGCTACTTCATCCTCAGTGCTGCGTGACTGTTTTCAGGTTCAGTTTCTTTAAGTTTCAGTTTGCTGCCATGTCTTTCCCTCCTCCCCACTACATGCCAAGAAGGGACTTTTATAGGCAAAGCTCAGATGTGAAAGCCTACCTTTAAGAAAGGAGGAGGTCTCTGAAACTGCTTTGGGGGTGGGTGAAGCTCAATCCATCTATCCATGAAGCTTAGTCCATTTAAGCATAATGAATTGTTTCTTTAAGAGACTATTGCTGGGAGTTTGACCAAAGTTGCTTTTAATAAAACAACTATTAGACACAGCAGCCCATACTTCCTTTTGCTATCTAGTCTATAGATCAAGGTCCTTTGGAATCCATTTTTAATAAGAGACAGATGGCACTCATTGTCTCTAGCTGTTTGTTTATCAAATTCCTGGAATTTCAGAAGTTACAGTCTGCTACTCAGAAATTAATCCTCAGAACTGAAACTTCCAAAGATAAGCAAGAGGCCTTAAACTCACCAAATTTACTTATTTTTTCCATCAGTTCCCCAAAATTCTAGCATCTTTCTCTGGTTAGTTTATGTGTGCTATTGTTAACAGATAGGTGGTCTCTGGAGACTCTGGTCAAAAGATTTCAGGTATTTGTGTGTCACAAGAAAAGAATTCAAGCAAAACACAAAAATGTAGTAAAGTTTATTGAAATTGTGGAGAAGCCACCATAGAGAAAGCAGTGAAAGCAGTGGTGGGCCCCAGACAGATGGGATGGGAGCACATGCCAGTCTTTGTTTCAAAGGGCCTTTAGAAATTGAAAGGGCAAATGCCAGGAAAAATCTGGGTGGTCTTTCCAGGATGGGCTAGAGTTTGATTGACAGGGCATGCACTTAAGCTAGCTCTCAGGTATTTTAATTACATATATGAGTTGCAATCAATATTCATGCTTTAAGCAAAGGGCTTTTATCTGAGATGTAATCGAGGGCAGAATTTTCCTTAAGTCTTCCTATCTTACAACTCACAACTTACAACTGCAAAGGATTTACAATTGAAGAGAAATTTGCAACTGCAAAGGATAGCATTGGGTGAGATGAAATGTACTGAGGAAAAGTTACATGGTGCCTGAAAGTCCCCTGACTTCTTTTCCTATTAACTAGCCTGTCTCACTCTCACAGGGCTCTCTGGTTCACCCTGATTCCCTGAGGATGTTAAGGAAGGATTGAGACTAGGCAGAGGAAAAAGTCTCAGTGTGTTTTGAGGTTGGGATCTGAAGTACTATTTACTCTTTTTATGCCTCAGCTGGTGGCACTGTCTCTAGGCTCCAGGGGGCTATTAAGAAATGTGTTATTCTGGGCCAAGGTGCACTTATGCTAATTCCCAGGTTTGTAATTGTATGTGTGAAATGCTACCACTATTTATAAGGTCTTAAATAGAGGTCAAATTGAGCATAGATTTCCCTTTACCAGGCATGCACCATTTTCAGTCTGAACCAGCCAAGAAACTCTCCTGTCTTCTGGAGGAACTTACAACTGAAAGGGAATTTACAATTGAAAAGGAATTTACAACTGCAATCCTAACCATAAAATGACCATTAGAGGGGATGTTGAGGACAAGGAGGAGTTCAGCATGTAGTGACCTTTTGCTGAGGAGGGTTGAATCTCATAGAAGGGTTTTTCTTTCTCTGTTACTAGCCTGCCTCAACCCCAGGGTCTATAGATCTTCTAGAAGTCTATGGACCACAAGTGCAGAATCCCTACAAGACACACATACACACTGGCAGAGTGGACAGAACTGACCACACTATTTTAAATATATTTCCTTCCTCTCTCCCCTGACCCGCACCCCATTGTGTGTTTGTAGTTTCCACACTCTATTCCGTAGCTCTATGATACCATCAGGAACTAGTGCTGTCTGTGATACAGCCATTTCCCTTCGAACTTCCTCGCTACCTCTTTATTCCTTCTTTTTTAGAACTGGGCCTTTTTTTCTATTAAAAATAATATGTTACGTTTTATTTAAAAAATAATCTCCTGTTGAAAATAATCTTGGTTTCTTGTTGTTTTTTTTTTAAGTGACCTTACACTTTCTGCCTCTGCCATGGCAGCCATAATTGAGTAGAGGAATACAGGAGAAAAACAGAATTTTTGCAATTCAAGAATAATCTGTAAACAGAGTTAATTTTAAAGTGATACTCGAAAAATAAGTCACTCAGAATACTACCTAGAAGTCATTATTAATGTTTACAGGCATTATTCTAGACATTTACATACTTCTGTGGTAAAAGAATGAGAGGAATTAATATAAAATTAAAAGAGGGGTATGAAGGACAAGAACAAGTAATAGAGGAGTGAATTTGAACAAAGTACAGTATGTGCGTGTGTGCAAATGCCACAGTGAAACCTCTTTGTGCAACCAATATACACTGATAAATACAAAATTTTGTTTTGGTTTTTAATAAAAATAAAAATAAGAGAATATAAAATAGAATATGTGGCATATCCAAACAAGATGTATGGATTTAGTCAAGTATATTAACCAGGGAATAAAACTGAAGTGAAACCAAAGTAACTGGTGAGGTGGGAATATGACTAAGTGGTAGGGCACTTGCCTGATATGTACAAGGCCCTGGGTTCAGTCTCCAGGACTGAAAAATAAAAAAACTTTGAGGCTATATTCATGTCATATTTTTTTTTATCTTTTGATAATATCTTATGACTTCTTGCTATAAAAGGTAAAGAAATTACTATTTTGAAAATTTGTACTTCTTTTGCTTCCCTCTCTCCTAACCTCCACCCCCTCTGCTAATAATAAACCTTTAATTTTCATATTCTGTTCTGTATCATACTTTCACAGTTGCTTATGTCTAGTTTTGTATTTAACTGAATTCTAACTCAACCCTGCCTCTTTTTTTTTTTTTTTTTTTGAGACAGGGTCTCAAAAAAGAGCCTGTAGTCCAGGCTTGTCTTGAACTTGAAGTCCACCTGCCTCAGCCTCCCTGAATACTGGGATTACAGGTGTGTACCACTATACCAGATTTTTTGTTTTGGTTTGGTTTGGTTTTTTTGCTTTTTGTTGGGTGAATTTCATTGTCATCCCCTGGCTTGCACTCTTGTTAGTTGAGAATAGATGGTTTGGATAGTTATGAGAGAAATTCACAATTAGAACAGCGTGAGGAGTCTGACATCCTCCCCCTCTGTACTTGGGACTTGTGGACCTTGAGTTTTTCCTGATTAAAGCATCCTGTGGTCTCTTACCACCATTTAGAAAGTTAATGAACTTAAAGAAACCCCTGTGTCCCTATCCCTTTTTCACATTTAAAGTCCCCAGCTATTGCCACACTGTATTTAGGAAAGCCAGTGGTTGCTTGGGCTTCCAAAACATATTATACCTTAGCACTGGAAATACACTGTCAGATATATGTGACTTCTCTTTTTTCGGTGGTGCTGGGGTTTGAACTCAGGGCCTCATGCTTGTTAGGCAGGTACTTTACTACTTGAGTCACTCTGCCAGCCCAAATATTTGACTTTTTTGATTAACAGATTGCACGAGAATTTTCAAGTGACTGTAAAAACAAAAGCCAAGGTAATGGGAGAAGAAGATAAAAATTAGTAGGAAAAAACTGAAGTTAGAATTGAGTATATTTGCACTCTTAATTTTATGGCTACCTATGAATATAAAATTCACATATTCCAGACTTTTAGTCCCAGTTTCAATATTCTATGTTCATCAGGATAATAAATGTATAAAATGTGAGCTCTTTATTTGCCAGTTAGGGGGATAAAGGATCTATCATTGGAGGATCACTCATCCTTTGTCACAAGGATGCATTTCTGCAGTGCAGAGCAACTTCTTTTGAGGCTCCATTGTATCTTTTCCTGGGCAGTGTCTACACAATGTTTGCAGCACTAGCCTTATCTAATCTCCTGCTGCCCTGCTTTCCATTTCCTAGTCCGGGAACAACATCAGGTCTTCAGAAGCAAGTTCCTTGAACCTAGCTTTAGAGAGAACATGACAGCATCTAATCATGTCTTGCTGTAAGAAGACTAAAATATAAATTACTTTTTTAGATAAGAAAAATAGTAAGCCTATCTCTAAGGTATTATAAAGCAAGATCTCTCCCACAGTTCTTCAGTTTCTAAGTCATTGGTATACAGAAAATTATTTTAGGTGGATGTGACGGTTTTTCAAGTTTTCATAGTCCCATTGTTTTTTTACTTAATGTTAGAAATTTATGTATCAAGCAAAATGGTAATGATAAAATATAAACAAAAACCAATATCACTTAAAGTAAATATCAGTCTGAGAATGACATACAGCAAAAAACTGGATGAATGCAATGACTAACATTTCAGAAACATGAGAACGTGGAGATCAAAAACACACAGAAATGTGCAGGAGGAGAACTTGTAACTAGGAGAGTATGGAACTCTGAAGTCTATTAAAGTTATTAAATAGGTTAATAGAATTAATCTGATTAAACTCTGCAATGTCTTATGTATTGATGGCTTTCATATGCACCATGCATTCTCATGGAGACACCCTAATTCCCAGCCTTCTCTCTTTCTCTACTACTCCAGAAAATATTTTGGAGGGTAAGCAAATGAAAAACATTATGATAAGAAAACTATTCTAATTCATGTTTAAAAGAGTAAATTATTCTGAGTTCCAATCCTCAGCACACACACAAAATAGAGTGAATTACTTACAAATGAATACTTGAACTTTTATTAACAAATACTTTTCAGCACTGGGACTGACCACCTTTACCAAATCTCAATGTGCTTGAGAAAGAGTAATGGTAAAACCTAGTTTGGGCCTTAAAATATCATGTGTAGAGTTTCCTGCTGTGGGCTTTGTATGCTAGGAACTGTTTTCCTGATTGCCTCTTGACCTAATAACACCCTTTTTCTCTTTCACACACACAGACTGTGGGGCGGGAGCTGCTGCTCCACCTGATCGACTATCTCGTAACCAGCTATGGGAAAGACCCTGACATCACAAAACTAATGAACAGTACACGAATCCACATCATGCCTTCAATGAACCCAGATGGATTCGAAGCTGTCAAGAAGCCTGACTGCTTTTACAACAGTGGAAGGTAAAAGGCAAGCAGGCCTAACCGTTTAAAAAACAGATCAAACAACAAAAAAGCCTCCCATCAGGCACTGGTTGGCCCAGGCAGCAGGAATCACATGATGATGAGCACTTCAGAGCCTGGGTCGTGTTGCTGGTGTGCTGACACTCTTTAGACCTGCCAGTGCTTGTAGGATGACACATGGAAGCCTCCGTACTCCTGCACCTGCCCAGCCCCTCTGCCTTCATTGGCGATCCCCTTGCCTCCCCCTGCTTCAGCCTTCCTGGTCAGTCTCTGTCTTTTGGTACTTGCAGGTGCTTTCCCAGCTCAGGCATTGTCCACATCCCATCCATTTCCCACTCTTCACCCCTTCCACTGCTTCAACAGCATCCCCTCAAAAACTCCTTTCCTGACATGCTTCCTGTATCATGTCCCCTGCTGTACTTTCAGATCCCTGAGCCCTTCCTCATCGCACAGTTTTTAGTGTAGAATTTCTTGTTTGATGTCTCTTTCCCCATGGACCTGCAAGTACTGTTCATCATTGTTAGCTTCTGGGGCCCTCAAAAGTTACTCATTAATTTATTAAGCCAGTAGTCTAAGGACTAATCACAAAGAGTGGTCTTACAGTAGTTCTGATGTAAATAGTTTATTTTGTTTCAAGCTGCCTCTGGAGGTTTAGAATTTCTCAAATGTCAAATATACATTTAAATTTGTGCAATTTGTAAAATTATTTGCTTGTCAGGTATGGTGGTCCATGCCTGTAATTTCAGCACTTGGGATGCTGAGGCAGAAGGATCAATAATTTGGGGCCAGCCTGGACTACATAGTGAGATCCTGTCTCAAAAAAAAATTCTTTGCTTTACCAAAATAAATAAATAAAATTTCACCATTGATTCCATTTGATTTTAAGTTTTTCTAGCATATTTAATCAAGGCCACTCCACTTTTCAGAAATAAGTGTGTATAAAGTAGTCAGTCCACCATTGTTTCTGTTATCAGGTGCTATGTAAGGAACCATTTCCAAGTTTGGTGAGTCAAAACAACAGCCTTTTCATTTAGTCGTGGTTCTATAAGTCAACAGTTCTGGCAGGACCGAGCAGGGATGACCAGGCTCTGTGCCTCATATGGGGCCTCAGCTCAGACAACTGAGACAGCTAGCCTGGGGCCATGTGTCTAGAGTCTCCTTCTGGCTTTCACCTGGGTTCTTCATGGGGGCCTCTCCATGTGGCTACCATTGAGGGATCTTAGGACTCTAAAAGGAAGTGTTCCAAGAGCAAAAGTCTCAGAATGCAAACATTAACCAAGTCTCTGCTTGTGTCACAACAGCTAATGTCCCATTGGTAAGAGATAGTCACAGGAGAGGGGACAACATAGGGTATGAATGCTCATGGGAGACCACCAATGCAACCATCTACCACACTTATATTCACATTCAGGAAAACACAGAGTACAAACCAAAAGTTGTGCACTTTTAAGAACAAACTCCCTCACATCCCTCCAATTAATTTAAACAATTCTTTCTTTTAAAGGGGAAATTATAATGAGTATGACCTGAATAGAAATTTCCCCGATGCTTTTGAGCATAATAATGTATCAAGGCAGCCTGAAACGCTGGCAGTCATGAAGTGGCTGAAAACGGAGACATTTGTCCTCTCTGCAAACCTCCATGGTGGTGCCCTTGTAGCCAGCTACCCATTTGATAATGGAGTTCAAGGTAAGCAGTGTGGTTCCTACACTGGCTTTCTGAGTGCAGATAGGAGCTGCAGACACTCTACCCTGCAGGAGTGAACTCTTCCCCTTCACTGAGCTTCTCTGGCTGGGCTAAGAGAAGCCTCACTTCCCCAATGCTGAGCTGTCCTGTCTGTGTTTCTTACACAGTAGACTGTGTAAGAACTGAACTCATAGAGCCAACTTGATATTCACCAGTGAAACAGAACAGTCAGATCTAGGCTATCTCACAAGAGGTAACACGGCTTAAAGAGAACAAAGGCAAGCCAGGTGCAGGTGGCTCATGCTTGCAATCCTAGCTACTCAGGAGGCAGAGATCAGGAGGATCACGGTTTGAAGCCAGCCCAGGCAAATAGCAAGACCCTATCTCAAAAATACCTAACACAAAAAGGGCTGGTGCAGTGGCTCAAGGTGTAGGCCCTGAGTTCAAGCCCCAGTACCACAAAAAAAAAAAAAAAAGAGAAATGAAAGACAGAAAAACTTACCTTTCTTTGCTAATCATATGAGTGACTTCTCTTAAACCTCTGTGGGAGGAGGCATGATCGAGAACTTCACATTACAGTGACTTCCTTTGATTCCTAAGGTAACTAAGGAAAAATTGCTGACCTCCATGCATTAACAAGTGATGAAGAGGGTATTTAATTTTTAGAGTGATTTAGGAGGAGTCTGGATGCGTATCTGTCTTACTTTGTGACATGTCACCTTGTATATGTTCATTGAAAAGTAGAAAGAAGAGCAGAGGGAGCATTTATGGAAATGGCAACATTTGTGTGCAGTGTGATTCTGTGCTTGCTAATATGGCCGTCTTCTCCTCCTCTAAAGCCAGCTGAAAGGTCTCGGTTGTCTTTCCAATACAGCAACTGGAGCACTGCTCTCGCGAAGCTTAACTCCTGATGATGATGTCTTTCAACACCTTGCACATACCTATGCTTCCAGAAATCCCAACATGATGAAGGGAGATCAGTGTAAAAACAAAATGAACTTTCCTAATGGAATCACAAATGGATATGCTTGGTATCCGCTCCAAGGTGAGTCGCTCTTCATTCCTTCCCTTCTCTTTACCGCCTTCTCCTAGAGGTGCCAGCAGCTTCAGGTTGACCCTGCAGTTGTCAGAAGATCTCTAGGCACAACATAGTCCCTCAGTCATGTCTCCATCTGCTAACACTGCAGGAACAGGGGAGGGTGAGATCATTTGAGAGATGCTCAGACATGTTCCTCCTTGCCAAGCCTGCTTTATTCATTCAGATATTTAGTCAGCATCTGCCTACTAAGAAAGAGGAATAAGACACAGACCTTACCCTCAAGTTTAATGCAAGTAAGTAAGGGTGACAACAGCGTAATTAGAGTAAGAGCAGAGATTTGGAAAAGATACAGTGTAGCATAGGGGTGTAAAGCCAAAAGCCAGTAAATGGTGAAGACCTTGGAGAAATGTAATGCTACAGCCCATCTACAGTAACAGCTGCTACTCAGATCAGCTAATTGTGGCCATGCGGTAGTGGAGAGCTAATATTGCCAGGCCTTCCAGTTTATAAAGCAAGCTGGACATCATGAGGTACTGTGATTTTGAAATCACTTTACAGGCGAAACAAAAGAGCTCTTCAGATAGGACACAGTGGGAGAGGCCTTCAGTTTTCCACCCTTGGAATAGGATGGTCACATAAGGGATAGGGTTTATTGCCATTGAAGGGAACATAGAAGGAAGGATAGTCTAATCAGAAGGTATAATGTGAACAGAAGCCCAGGGGTCCGAGACTTGTACTAGTTTGGGAACTGAAAAAAGATGAGGACCTTAAGGAGGAAGGGCAAGAGGAGGGACAGAGGGCTGGCACTGAAAAGCATTCTCTTCCAGACCAGTCAGCCTGGCCCTGCAAGCAGCAAACTACACCCTGCGTTCTGCACAAAAGCCACTTCCAAAGCCACCTTCATCAGTGGGCACTTTAGATGCAGAGGCTGTCCAGTAATATTGCATAAACTGGTACTTTTGTGTCTAGAAGCCTTGCTGCACTTTCCCAGATACTGTCACTAAGCATAGACCACAATTGATTAGTGCAGGCAGCAGGTTCTGCTAAGACACCATGACATCCCAGATTTCTCTCTGCTGTCCGAGATCTTCCCAACCCCTCTAGGTTCCAGCCCTTGCCCTCTTTATAGATACAAAGGACACCCTCCAGCCCAGTGGCACAGCTGTCCTCACATCGTAACTTTCAAGACAAATCCATCACTAAAAACCCATAGTTGCTATTGGAAATTGTTCCCAAGTGTGTATTTGTGAGCTTCATTTTCATATCCTTCTCAGAACAAAAGCAGGCAAAGCCAGTTTCCCTGAGGCATTCTGAGGCAAGCCGTCTGGCCTACCTGCAGGTTTTGCTGGTCAAGCCTGACTGGCCTTATCCAGAACTATGTATATCCCCCATGCTTGGCATTTTCAACCTGCAGTACTTTGCTAGGGATCCTTAAAGAGACACATCCATCCAGCCAAGGGCTCTGTTTTGTTTTCTTTTTTCTCTTCCTCTTCCTTATTCTATACTTTTGTTGAAAATGAATTCAGAGAAAAATATAAAACCTGAAAGATAAGGAAATGAAGTAGAAAGGACAGAGAAATTCTTCCTGGCTAGAATCTGGGGGTCTACATAGATATTACTTAATATTTTAACCATTTTTCTAGATATTACCTTTTTCTCTACATAAGTACCTTCCAGACAAACTGATATAATAGAGAATATATATTTTCTTGGGCAGACATCAAGTAAAGCAAATTAAAGTCTACTTCCTTCAAAATTACTGTAGGGCTGAGGATGTAGCTTAGTGGTAGAGGGCTTGCCTAGTATGCACGAAGGTCTGGATTTGATTTCCAACATAGCAAAAAAAAAAAAGAAAAAAAAAGTTACTGTAATTCATCAATCCAAAATGCCATTGACTATAAAACAAACACAACGTACCAACAAGAAAGAAAGCAAAAAAAATGTTTTCAGTTAAAAACATGATGTTTTTCAGACATAAAATTTTAGACATATCCCAATTCAGAGACATTAAATATGAAGTTTTGCATCTTAGAAAATATGAAATGACTATAACCCTTGAAAATAGTGTCTTTGAGGTAAAAGCTGGAAAGTGACATGAGCAGCAAACCAGAAGTCACAGGAGTCTGAGTTTTCTTCCTCCTGAGCATCACCAACATCCTTTCTCTGACCCTCAGAAGCACTGTGCATAATGAGGACCAGGGGCCAGGCAAGATGGCTGCATCCTAGTCTCTGCCACCCATGGCTGGGAACCCCTGGACACATGACTTAACATCTGTGATTACATTTCCTCTTCTGTAAAAAGGGAGGAAATAATTGCAATAATTAATAATCAATTAATTATTAATAATTATCAATTAATTATTACAATTAGCAATTGTAATAATTGCTCTGAGGATTGAATGAGCTGACAGAAGGTACACATAATACTAAACACTCATTAAATGTTGGCCATTATTATTGCCTTAAAACAAGTACACTTAGCTTTATATTATTTAGTTTATAAATGGCTTATACAAATACTTCAAAAGAAATCTTATTCTAGCTTATAGCCACTTAAAATGTAATTTAAGGGAGAAATGTCATTTGAAGAATCCTTTGGTGATATATGATTACAAAAAAATAAAAATAAGCCAAGTATGGTGGGTCACACTTGTAATCCCAGCACTTGGAAGGTGGAGGCAGGAGGAGCTTGAGTTCTAGGCCAGCCTGGGCATTGTACAAGTTCAAAGCCAACCTGGGCTACATAGTAAGATCTTGCCTCAAAAAAACAAGGACTGAGGATTTATCTCACTGGAAGAGCACTTGCCTACCTTATACTAGACCCTGTATTCTATCCCTAGCACAACATAAATGAATAAATATATACATCTATATATCATAGATCCTTCCCCACCCTCACTTAATTTTGATGCAACTTGAACTTTTTTAGTATTGTTGTACTGTTACATTGTGACATTTACAAAAGTTCTTAAAATATATCATAACTGAATTCACCCCATCTGTCATTCTCTTTCATTTTCCCCTCCCCCCACTCCTGGAATAGTTTCAACAGGTCTCATTTTTCCATTTTCATACGTGTGTACAAAATATTTCCACCATATTCACTTTCCTACACCCTTTCCTTATATCCTCCACCCTCCCAGTGGTACCAACCTTTTGCCTTCCTGTTCTCTGTTTTGCACAACTGAACTTCAGTCAGCTCTGACCCAGCTACCTATATGAGAATATTTAGGATTGCCTGGTCATGCCTAGGTAATAAAACATGAAGCCCTGGTTGTACATGCTGATATATAAACTTCATCTTTTCCTACTAACATGTACTTTCCTTGCAACTGTTTCATTCACTCATCCCCAAAGTATCTGATACTTGGCTCTACTCCAGTTTTTTAGACAGTGGCAAAAATTAAATATGCTTGTTTTTAGGTGGGATGCAAGATTTCAACTACATCTGGGCCCAGTGTTTTGAAATTACCTTGGAGTTGTCATGCTGTAAATATCCTCGTGAGGAGAAGCTTCCCTATTTCTGGAATGACAACAAGGCCTCATTAATTGAATATATAAAACAGGTGCACCTAGGTTTGTAAAATTTTATTAATTCCTTGTAAAAACAAAATATAGCATCTGACGGGACTTTTGGGTTGAGTTTGCAAGCCTGTATTTGTCTGTTCCAGGTTCAGCCTCATTTTCAGTACCAGAACTAATAATTAAGAATTCTCTCTATGAGGATCTGCAGAGTGTGAGAGATGCAGTGCCATCCACTCATAAAAGAGAAAGCACGCTACATGTTAATTTGGGGACATAAAAATTCAAAGTTCCCCCAATTTTGCACGTTGAATGACCTGGAAATCTGGCAAAAGATTAAGAAAGCAAAATGTTGCTCTTTTACATCATCACCCAACTAGAAAAAAAGCCAAGTTTGCTTGTCACTTGCTGCACAATATCATAGACCCGGAGTGGACATACCATTTTGCACTTTTTCCAGAACTGGGGTAGTGACTTAACACCATTATTCCTAACCCCTCTACTCCTCAACTTTGCCATACAACCTGGTGCTGGGAATCCTTCCTGTGAAGGCTGCCAGCCTTTACCACAGATGGGCAAACTAAATATGGGAAAGAGTAGTGGCGTTCAAACATATGCAGCAGGCAATGCTGATGGTCCAAGGACCATGCTCCAAAAACCATCACACTAGACAAATACACTGTTTGTGATAATGAGATCAGGTTCAGTTCCAGTTTGTTCACCACTTAGAGTTTCTTTGGACAGGATGTAGAAGGTCTTCTGCATTGCCAGAGTTAGTTACCTTTCTCCACTCAGGGTGGCTTGGTGGGAGAAGCCTATCAAGAATTGTCATAAGGTTACACTACCACATCGATCCCAAGTGGAGGGTGTGCATGTGTATGTAGAGGCTTGCAGCATGGACCTACTTGAATTTTCTACACACTTCACCTCAATACTTTCCACCTTCCTAAAAAGTAGACGAGGGAGGATACAGCATGCTTTCTCTTTTAGAAGGGTGGGGAGCACAGGTAGGGAGAACTGAGTACAAGGATAAGTAGCACCTTCCCTAAAATGGATACCCAACCATTTTACCTGTGTCCCCAACCCTCATCTCCCAACCCAAACAGCAGTTCTTAAAGATTATTGGTGAATTCACAAGGAGAGCTGTGTCTAACTGACCATGCTGCCATGGAGTGGTTGATTCCCTATGTAGGGGACATTACAAAATCTCATCTTACTTTTTTGCAGCATACTAAGGGTTATAAAATTTCTTACTGGATCTTCCTCCTGCCTCATTATGTCATGAAAGTTTGCTTGTGGTCTTCTATTTAGTATTCTGGCATTTCATTCTCCACTAGCTCTTCCTCAAGAAGCTTGTGTTAATTTAACCTTTCTATTATATTTCTTCCCATACTGATTCTTTAGTGTGTTACTCTGTGTATTCTTTCCCGAATTCACTCAGTATCAGCATGGGAGTGCAACTGAACATGAAATGTGCTTTCTGAAATTGTACTAGTATTTTCAGAATTTCAGTCTAGCTAGAAAGATTATTCAGCCAGCCCTGAATTAGGGCGGACTTTGCAGCATCACATTGACAGAAGACTGCTAGTAAAGGAACCTTGTAAACTCAAATAACAAATTGCAACATAACTACTGTTATTAGTGATTTGGAAGGTTTACAAGTCCATTTACACTGGGTTGTATGAAGAATATTTGTCTACCTGCCTGTCCCTGTAATCAGAAGTGAACTTGTTTTAATGTATCTATAAGCACATCCACTCTGCCCCCTAGTGGTGTAAGACAGAGGCTTTTTTTTTTTCTAGTTCAGTAATGAAACCGTTTCCAGATACTGATGCAGTATGGTTATTACTACTTAACAGAAAACTTCTATCTTACAACCAATATGGAGCCAAAGAAAATTTTTGCTTGTGGGTGATGGGAGCACACACCTCTTTATTAGTGTTGCTGTGGTTTAAAGAAATGACTGAAATTTATCAAGCTGTGTTGGTTTCCCTAGTTAAATTTCACCACTGCTGGGAGGCAAGTCTAAGATTTTGACCCATCTGGAAGTCTGTAACCTGCCTTGTGTGGGGAGAAAGGTTTCTGCTTTAATTAGAGGGCCTGGCTAGAGGGCAGGAGCCTGGGGAGATCCCAAGCTGTTTGGTCATCTAGTCTTTGTGAAAGCTTGAGCAACACTTGTCTGAACCTAAGCTTAACAACTGAGAACTGGGAGTAACAGCGTCTGCCTTGCCTCATCCTAGTTAGTTCCAAGGCTCCAACAGGGTTATTCTTTCTATTAGAACTCACCACTGATCACAATCTGAACTTGGGTCCCATGGTGCCATGTGGTCATGCTTGGAGGTTTTGCTAAGTGTGGGTTGGATAAGAGTATCTGCAGACATTAAGGCCAAAGGAGCAGTGGAGGGCAAGTCTGAATTCGACACCTAGAATGTTCTGCTTGTCTCCCTCTCTAGGGAGCAAGACACAGTGTTACCTGCTACTGACCTGTCTTTCTCTCCTGGAATGTTTCAAGGCAGAGCTGAACCAGAGGTGTGGGGTGGCTCACAGCACCCAGATATCTAAGCAATCCAGGCCTTTGAAAGTTTAGTAGGTGCTGAGTTCCAGAAGCTCACGGGACACATATGTGGATCTCTGGTAGGATCCAAAACAGATGGCAGCTGTGATCATTAAGTGGGAACGTGGACATGGACAAGCAGTCTCCCAAGTACTATGGCAGCTCCCACTCTGAATTGTGGCCAAAAAATGCAGAATTTCCCTTCCTATTCAGCAAGGTCTTTTTGTTCACGAAGCTAATATACTTCCAAGGCACCTCACACCTGGCTCCTCACATTTCCAAGTGTGACCATAGAATCCAAGTCTCAAGTTTTGTGTCTTCTCCTTTTATTATTGTTCCTGCCATAACAGCTCTCTCTGTAACTCTTTGGATCTACTGGTCTCTTTTCAATATTTCAATTTTATCATACCAAATAATAGGTATAAATATAAATGGGACTTTAAATAAAAGGGCAGAAGAACAAATTACATCATGATAGATGTGTGCATAGTGGATCTGTATTGAGGCAGTGAGAAGGAAATATGGCATTTAATAACTTACTCTCCATGAAACAGAGTCAAGACTTAAGGAAAAAAGTAAAAGGCAACTTGAGTTAATTAACTTGATACTAATTACCAAGATAAAGATTTCATTGCTAAATGTCAAAATATTTTTTTTGGCAGTACTAAAGTTTGAACTCAGGGCCTTGTACTTGCTAGGCAGGCCACACCCCAGCTCTCATTTTTCATTTTAACCTGTTCTGGAGGAGACTATTTAATGTGTGCTTTATATTTTTCTGCCCTAATAAGCATCAACAATAACTGTTTTGGGATAGTTCAAGGTCATTTTATTGTGGCTCCTCGTATAGGTCACTGGGTTTAGATGGCTTCATCTTTATGGTAGCCTAGTTTGTCAGTGGAGTGAACAAACTGGATTGTGGAATTTAAGATTTAAGATGAGAAGAGAGCTTGGATATGGTTCAGTGGTAGAGAGCTTGCCTAAAATGCACAAGGCCCTGGGTTTGAGCCTCAGCACTGCAAAAAATTAAAAGTCTAGCTGGACACCAGTGGCTCACACCTATAATCCTAGGTACTCAGAGATCAGGAGGATCATGGTTCAAAGCCAGCCTGGGCAAATAGTTCACAAGACCTTATCTCGAAAAAAACCATCACAAAAAAGGGCTGGAGGAGTGGCTCAAGGTGTAGGCCCTGAGTTCAAACCCTAGAACCACAAAAAAAAAAAAAAAATTAAAAGTCTATACCTGAAATTTTGAAGTAAGTGTGGTGTGTGTAATGGATCATTGTGGACTCTGAAGACTGTTGTGCCCACTTAGTTGACTATGTGACACGGAGATTATTTTAATCAGCCAAAGCCTTACCTTTTCATCTGTAAAATTGTGGGATTTCTGTTTGTTTGTTTGTTTGTTTTTTTATGGTGTTGGATAGAGATCAAACCTAGGGCCTCACACGTAATAGACAATCATTCTATCACTGGGCTACACCCCCAGCCCTGTGAAATTATGATAAAAATATTGTCCAGCTTATAGAGTCGATGTGAAGATGCAGTGAGAAAATGCACATTTAGCACTTAGTATAGAAGCTGGAAAACACCAAGTGCTCAATCAATGTTGGCTGTTGTTATTAGTACTAATAAGACCCCATCAATCAATTCCATGCTTTAAGCAACCTTGTGATTATAATTTTTCATCCCACCTGGTTTGCCTAACTATAAGACAAAGCTATCAAGTGTCTTATGTAGAAAAATATCTTGTAAATTAATACAGTGACATTGTTTTTATTTAGGATTTTAGGAATCCACCAATGGCAGGTTTCAATACAGTTTATGCTTGAGCTATTTAAACTTGGAAATGACAGGAATGAATCTTAGATTGTTATCTGTGTTGTCATTTGTATTACAAATGGAATATTCAATAACCCTAAATTAAGCTATAAATCAGATTAGTAGCTTGACTGTAATTTAGTCATCAAAAATACTTTCCCTTCTCAAATGAGCTAACAAATATTGGGCATGATTTTCTTAAATAATTACAAGAAACTTTTTATGCCACAAAATGTAGTATTTACATTCACTTTTCTTTTATCCTTTAGGTATCAAGGGACAAGTTTTTGATCAAAGTGGAAATCCATTGCCCAATGTAATTGTGGAAGTCCAAGACAGAAAGCACATCTGCCCATATAGAACCAACAAATTTGGAGAGTATTATCTACTTCTCTTGCCTGGATCCTATGTAATAAATGTAAGTATGCAATCCTTGTTGCTATTAAAATATTAAAAAATTCACAGTACTCACCCAGGAGGAATCTAAAATCATTCAGGGAAATCCAAAAGTAGGTACATCAGGAAGGAAGGAAAGGACAACATGAGTCCTGTAATTGGCAGGGAGTGGAGGAACTAGGAATGACAGGAATAAACCAGGAAAAAAAATTTCCTAACTGGCAATTTTTTTCCAATTTTTTTGTTTGTTTATTCATATGTGCATACAATGTTTGGGCCATTTCTTCCCATTAACTGGCAATTTTTTTACAGAAGACAAATTCTATTTTTGTGGCATCTTTTATAATAAAAGAAAGTGCAATTTATGAATAACAAGAATAGAAGGAAGTCAAGGTGACTGAGTAGAGGTTCCTTGAGCATGACTCTGCCACAGAGAAGAGTCAGGGCAAAAAGGAGAAACAGTACTTCAAAGAGAGTGAATGAGGGAGAACTCTGAACATCAGCAAAGGGGAAAGAGCCCTAAGCAGCATGGAGAGTCAGAAAGAACCTTGACAAAAGAACAAAGCAATTGTTCTTTTTGTGGTACTGGGGAAATTGTTTTTAAACTATTCCCCAAAACACTGAAATGGAAGGGACGCCAAACTCTTTTTATGAGGCCAGCATTGCTCTGATAAAACCAAAACCAAAGATACAGTTAAAAAAAAAAAAGAAAACTACAGAGTCATATCTCTGATGACACAGATGTGAAAGTTGTTGACAAAACACTAGCAAACTGAATTCAACAGTCTATCTAAAAGATCATACATCACGATCAAGTAGAATTCATCTCAGGGATGCAAGGGTAGCTCAACACATACAAATCAATAAGCATCAATACATGTTAACAGAATGAAGGACAAAAACCATATTATCATTTCAAGAGATGCATAAAATCAGCTAATAAGATTCATCATGTCTTCATGATTAAAAACTCAACAAACAGGCTACATATGAAAAACCCATAGCCAGTACCATTCTGAATGGGAAAAAGCTGAAAGCCTTTCCTGTAAGATCATAAAGAGGACAAAAATGTCAATTCCCACCACTCCTATTTAACATAGTACTGGAAGTCTTAGCAAGAGCAGCAAGGAAGGAAAGGAAGGAGGGAGGGAGGGAGGGAGGAAAAGGCATACAGATTGCAAAGGAAGAAGTTAAATTGCAAAGGTCATGACTTTATACATAGAAAAAACTAAATACTCCATCAAAAAACTGCTAGAATTTATAAATGAATACAATAAAGCTACAAAATACAAAGTTGACATGCAAAAAAAAGTAGCATCTGTATATATCAGTAATGAACTTGCTGAAAAAGAAACTAAGAAAGCAATCCCATTTGCAATAGCAGCAAAAAAAAATGTTTGGGAATAAATGTAATCAAGGAAGTGAACGTAGATTCGGGGCATAGCCCAAGTGGTAGAGTGCCTGCCTAACCAAGGAAGTGATCGATCCCTACAGTGAAAATTATGAATCACCAGTGAAAGAAATTATAGAGAACACCCAAAAAAAGGAAGAATATCCCCTGCTCATGGATCAGGAGAATCAATATTGTTAAAATGAACATACTACCAAAGTGATCTATAGATTCAATGCAATTGCCATCAAAATAGCAATGACTCTTTACAGAAATAGAAGAAACTGTCCTAAAATATAATAGCCAAAGCAATCCTGAGCAAAACGTTTTTATTGGGTGGGACTGGGGTTTGAACTCGGGGATTCACACTTGCAATGCAGGCACTCTACCACTTGAGCCACACCCTCAATCCTAGAGGCAAATTAAAAGAAAAAGAAAATACTGGGGACATCATAACACCTGACTTCAAAACATACTACAAAGCTACAGTAAGTAAAACAGCATGGTACCAGCATAAAAACAGACACACAGACCTGTGGAACAGATTAAGGAACCCAGAAATTAATCTACTTTCATACAGCCAACTGATTTTTGACTAAGGTGCCAAGCACATACAGTGGAAAAACAGTCTCTTCAATAAATAGTGCTGTCAAAAGTGGATGTGTGCCAGGCACTGATGGCTCACACCTGTAATCCTAGCTACTTGGGAGGCTGAGATCAGGAGGACTGTGGTTTGAAGCCAGCCTGAGCAAATAGTTCATGAGACCCTATCTCGAAAATACCCATCACAAAACAGGGCTGGCAGAGTGGCTCAAGTGGTAGAGCCACTTGAGTTCAAACCCCAGTACTGAAAAAAACATTGAATATGTATTTGTAGAAGAATGAAACTAGATCTCTTCCTCTTACCATGCACAAAAATTAACTCAAAATGGCCCAAAGACGTAAATGTTAAATCTGAAACTATGAAATTACTATATAAGAAAATACAAAGGACAAAGGGGAACACTTCAAGACATTAGTGTTAGCAATAATTTTTTAGATAGGCCAACAAAGGTGCAAAAAGTAAAAATAAACAAATGGTATAAAATCAAACTAAGAAGCTTCTGCCCAGCAAAGGAAACAATCAACAGAATTAAGAGGCAATTTACAAAATGGGAGAAAACACCTGCAAACTACTGATCCGACAAGGGATTACAAGGAGCTCAAAAATGCAAACACCAAAAACATAAACAATTCAATTTCAAATGGGCTAAACAACTAAACAGAGAGCTGGTGGAGTGGCTCAAGTGATAGTGCCTAGCAAGTGTGAGGCCCTGAGTTCAAACTCCAGTACCGCAAAAAAAAAAAAAAAAGCAGACACTTCTCCAAAGAAGACATACAAATAAATAGCCAACAAGTGCATGAAAAAATGTTCAACATCATTAGTCATCAGGGAAATGTAAATCAAAACCCAGTGAGCTATCACCTCACCCCAGTTAGGATTACCATCATCAAAAAGACAAGCCAGGTATGGTGGTATACTCCTGTAATTCCAGCACTTAGAAGGCTAAAATAGGAGAATAGTGAGTTCAAGGTCCGCCTGGACTACATAGAATGCCATGTTCCTAAATAAATAAGTAACAAATACCTGTGAGGACTCAGAAAAGGGAACTCTTGCTGGGTGTGGCAGCACACATCTATAATCCCAGCACTGTGGAGGTTAAGGTAGGAAGACTGGGAGTTCAAGGCCAGTCTGGGCTACATAGCCACACACTGTCTTATAAAGCATAAATTATGAAATGTAAATTAGTATAGCCCTTATGGAAAACAACATGGAGATTCCTCAGAATACTAAAAATATACCTGCCATATGATCCAGCAAGTCTACTACTGGTACAACTCAAAAGCAGATGAAACCATTGTACCAAAAAGATACTTGCATACCCATATTTGTTGCAGCCCTTTTCACAATAAAGTATGGAATGTGGAGTTGACCCAGATGCCCTTCTGTGGATGAATGGATAAAGAAAAAGTTGTATATATGCACAATGGAATATTTGCCATAAAAAGGATGAAATTGTGTCATTTGCAGCAACATGGATGGAACTGGAGATCATTATGTTAAGTGAAATAAGTCAGACACAAGTAACATATGTTCTCTCTCATTTGTGGAAATAAGCCAGTCATGAAGAAGAACTGGCACAGTGGCTCACACTGTAATCCCAGCTGCTCAGAAGGCAGACATCAGGAGGATTGAGGTCTGAGACCAGCCCAGGCAAAAAGTTAGTGGCAGGACACCATCTCAATCAGTAAGTCAGTGTGGTGGTACATGCCTGTTGTTCCAGCTATTCCAGAGGCTATAAGTAGGAAGATATGGTGGTTTGAGGCCCAACCCCAGGCAAAAACATGAGATCCTACCTGAAAAATAGCTAAAGTTAAAAAAAAAAAAAAAGTGGAGGGAGGGGGTCAAATGGTAGAGCACCACCTAGCAAGCACAAGGCTGTGAGTTCAAACCCCAGTGCCATCGAAAAAAAAAAAAGAATGGAATGGACCAGTGGCCAGTAGGGACTGGGAAGGGCAAGGAGGGAGGGATTAAAAAGGTCAGTAAGGGGCCTTCCAAGTGTTCTTTAACAAAGTAAGGTCACTATAGATTAAAACAGTCTATGATGTATTTCGAGATGAATTCTGAATACACAATTCCTGCACGTAAAAATGATTCATATTCGAGAATGGAGGCATGGCTCAAACAGTGGCACGCCTGCCTAGCAAGTGCAAAGACCTGGGTTCGAATACCAGTACTGCAAAAAAAGGTGATTAATGTTTGAAGAGTTGGAAATGCTTATTGCACTAATTTGATTATGTTACATTGTTTATATGTATCAATTTACCATAACGTACCTCATAAAGACTACAAATGTTGTCTTAATAAAAAGAATAAACAATGTAGCAAAAGCATTCCAAGCTTCATGAGATACCATTTAACTCTGATTCCATAAAACAAAATTTCTGCCATTAAAGGTGGGGGGGCGGTGCTGGCAGACTGGCTCAAGTGGTGGGAGCTCCTGCTTAGCAAACATGAGGTCATGAGTTCAAACCCCAGTACCAAAAAAAAAGGGTGGTGGTGGTTGTTAAGCTAGAGCTGTAGATCAGTGGTAGAGCACTTGTCTGGTATGCACAAGACCATGGGTTTAATACCCAGCACCATAAAGAACAAACGAAAAAGAAAAAAAAAAAAGATTGGGGCAATCTTGAATTTGTTCGGATTCATTCCAAGTGAATATGACCACAACCTTTACCAGTACATAAGCAAGTGATAGACATATCTTGCTGCTCAGTCAATGCAAGTAAATTTCCCGTTTTTAATTCTATTACGATGCATGGTTCTGTCGTGTCTTCCTAGAAGGCACAGGATAACTTGAGCATAAGTAGGTTTATGTGAATGAACTAAATGAATGAGCACCTGACTTACTTGGCCAGATTGTGCCTCTTCCTCTTTGATAGGACTTTTCTCTAAGAAATTCAGGATTGTTCTGCTTTGTTTTGTGGGGCTGATGCAAACTACTAAACCATTTTTTTATACAGCTACTCCTAGTAGAAGGTAGTCATGTTTTCTGTAGTAAAAACTGGCTTTGTATTTCATTATTTCATCTTTAGGACATAATGAAAGTCACGGTCTTTAGTTTGAAACTTGCCTTGAGAAACTTCCTGCTCCATAGGTGATCCCCAGGCTCAACTCCCACAGCTCCTCCTGTGAATTCATCTCTACTGAGAAGACGGATGGAGACTCAGAAGCCTCAGCTCACTGTCAATCGCCTCACATGGCCCTTTATTTTCCTATTTACTCTTTCCATTATACAATAGTCGTGAGTTGTTCTTTTATCTTATTTTAAATATTTGGTGGGACTAAGGTCAGAACTCAGGGCTTTATACTTGCAAAGCAGGTGCTCTACCACTTGAGCCACGCCTCCACTCCATTTTGCTCTGGTTATTTTGGAGATGGGGGATAGGGTCTCATGAACTGTTTTCCTGGGCTGGTCTTGAACGTTCATCCTTCGGACCTCAGCCTCTCAAGTGGCTGGGATTTCAAGTAGCTGGGATTACAGGTGTGAGCCATTGGCGCCCAGCCATTTGTCTTATCTTTCCACTAAAAAAAAAAAAAAAAAAAAAAAGGCAATCTAGCTGAAGCTTCAGAATCATATGAACAAAACCAGGTAAAATCAAATCTTTTAAAGGATGTAATAGTCTTGTATACTTAGATCAGGTGCAAGAAAACGGGAATGAATTGGAAAAAGAATTCTACTTATAATCGTGAGACCCATCATGAGTCTATAATCTCACGATTATAGACTTTGGACAAAGGCAAACAATCAACTCTACCTTTCCACTCCATGAAAGTGACAGTGGCACAATCAGTTTACTGCTTCCTTCTTTCTCCTGGCTTACATCACCAGATAAGGTAGCTGTCTTTATTTCATTTCGTAATTCTTGGCAAGAGCATTAACAATTGTGATCTGTATCAACAGGCACTGGCTAACCCATCGGTGCCTTGCCCCCAGGGCCTGGCAGAGATTGTTACATGCTTTGCACAAAGGCCACATTTTAGTGCTGGCTATCAGTGTTTTCAGCGTTGAGACCACAAAACATCTGAAGTCATTTGTACAATTGTTTCTTGTTTCTTCTCAGGTTACAGTCCCTGGACATGACCCGCACCTCACAAAGATAGTTATTCCAGAGAAATCCCAGAACTTCAGTGCTTTTAAAAAGGACTTTATATTTCCACTCCGAAGGCAATCAGATTCTGTCCTTGTATCAAATCCTTCATGCCCATTGGTTCCTCTATACAGGGCAATGCCAAGCTACTCAGCTGCAACAAAGCCTAGTTTGTTCTTATTTTTAGTGCCTCTTTTGCACATGTTTTTCAAATAAAGTAAACTGTGAAACTCAAACCCCATCAGCACCTGGAATCAGGGATTAGTCATTCCAGGCAACTCTAACTCGCTCTGGTGGAACCTCACCTGGATAAACTCCACAGTCTTCCCTACGAAGAGAGATGGATGCAAATCCTGAAATAAGCAATGTGTGGGAATAATGAAAGGAATGATTCAGTTTTATGAGTGGAAAAAACTACCTATCAAATATTGACCATTGACACTTAATTTTGAAGTTGTCTTAGAAATTTGTAAGAAGTTAAACTTGAGAAGCAAAACAAAATCCTGCAAGAAAAAGGAAGTAATTTTGTATACAAAGAACCAGATGAATATAAGCAACAAAGATGAACATTTATCACCTACTATATACAAGACTTTGCCATGAGTGGTATTTGTGAAGAGACAGTGCTATATATAACTAGTTCTCCACAAAGGAAGAAATTGTCTGAGAATACTTAGGTTTGCTAATGTTCTAAGGAGAGCCGAGAGAAAACAGGCAAACATATTTCAGTGATCCAAGAAAATATGACCCTAATGGGACAAGGTTGTTTATAGAATCCCAAAGGAACAGGTCAACTGAGCCTTTCTTCCTCCCAGCCAGCATCCTGCCTTTCTGCATCAAGAGGCCACAATCCTGTTATGATGAGGACCACCCCCCCATGTGTAGTGCCAGCCTCAGGAGCATGTCCATTTGCCTGGTCATATTCACCTGCACATGACACTGCAGCAGCTTTACTAGTCTCTTGCTCCCAAGTCATCTCCAAGTCCCTTTCTGCATATCACTGGGGGAGGGGCCTGCTTCACAATCAACTGTCAGCTGCTTCTGTTTCCCACCTCATACTGTTTGCATCACGTCTGGAAAGCCATTCCGATTCACTGCATTTTGTTTCTCACGCCTTTAAAATTCCATTCAAGCTGGGGGTATGGCTCAAGTGGTAGCGTGTCTGCTTGGCACATACGAGGCCTTGAGGTCAAACTCCAGTACAGCCACAACAAAAACAAAACCAAACCAAAAATCCACAACTCCATTCAAGTATCATCTCCACCAGGAAGACTCCTTCCAGGCAATGAGGTTTGAGGCCATGCCTCTGCTCCCCCAGATCAGCTGGTTTTTTCAATTACTGGATTTACAACACTGTCATATGATCTTCATTTTTGTCCTTTTTATTAGAGTATGAGCTCATTGAGGCCAAGGTCTACTTGTTTGAAAAATTCATTTTTATAACCTTAGAGCCTAGAACAAAATAGGTACTGATTGAAGAAAAAGGGTTCCAGCAACCTGCTACCCCCAGACCCACCCTTCCAGAACTATGGGGCTTTGGGTCATTTTATGAAACTAGGTTTTATGCTTTGGTAATCTCCGGCTCACTGGTAACATTGACTAGAGTATTTTCATGTGTGTATCAAAAAAAAAAAAAATTCCAAATACAGTGCTTTCACTTGCACTTAGTCTGTAGAAAGGGCATTATGTTACCTGATAACAGCACTACAAACCACCTTTTTTTAATCAGAAAACAAATGTTTACCTTTTTACCATTAGTACTCAATTCAAAGCAGCCATTCTCTAAGAGTTAACTTATGTTAAAATGTTTTATGTAAGAATTAAATGGGGGACGGCAAGGATCAAACAGAGAAAAAAAAAAAAAAACAGTAGCAATCCTAATAGGCAGATTTCTAAGTGCTGTGTATTCTCACAAAACACAAGTTGCCATTGGCAGTGCTGGGGTTTGAACTCAGGCCTCATGCTTGCTAGGCAGGCACCCTACTACTTGAGCCACTCCGCCAGCTCACTGTGGTTCTCATTTTAAGTTGCAAGTTCTGCATCATGTGAAAATGACACTGTGCTGGCCAAGGCCCATGGTGAATGCTTGAGGACAATAAAGGACATGAGCAATTTAGGTGCCATTTCTGTGCCAAGCTTATCCTACATGTTAGCCATTCATGTTAATATTAACAGCATTTGTCATTTCTTTTTAACCACTTATAAAACATGGTAATAACCTGAATATCTTGATCACTTTTATTTAAATGAGCAATGTATTAACAGTGCAAAAAATGATTTTGGTATATTACATTTAAAGTATGTAAGACTAAACTTGATTATCAAGCCCTAAACAATTTTTCAACTGAGGAGTCTCTCTTTTCTAAGATAGCAGTTTTTAAGGGATATGAACTAAAATCTGAATTGGCTCATGAGCCTTAATGAGAATTTCTTACTGAAATAACGTTTTTAAAATCAAAATTTGTATCAAAATCAAATTTTAAATCACTTAGAGACAAAAACAGGACTAGGGTTGTAGCTTAGTGGTAGTGTGTGTGCTAATTAGCATGCATGAAGCCTTGAGTTCAATACCCAACACCTCCCATCCCAAAAAAGACAAAACAGAACCATGGAATTGTGTGGTCAGACCAGATCCCCAAACCTTTCACTCTTCACCCCTTTAACCAGGTGGTTATGCTCCTCAGGCTCTAAGGTGAAATCCTTTTGTAGCGAAACCAACATGATGAAGGTTTTCAAGAAAGGAGAAAAACACAGGAATAAAGTAATAATTAGTAGGTAGAAGTCGTGGGTTCAAGTCTACCACATGCAGTTTCCTTATTTGTAAAATGAAGACCCTGTTTGACAGAGATTCTTTGACTGTTAGAAACAGTGGTAGGAGGGACTACATTTTCAGTGCTTGCTCAGGTGGAGGAAGGGCAACTGATACTTGGGGATGAATGTTTTGAAGGTAGTGTAATATACCTTACAAAAGCCAAATCTTTGCCTCTGAAATAAACAAAATTGACCTGAAAACTGGAACACTGGCTAACAAATATTCAAGGAAGCTTTCATGAAGTTATAGAGCTTTCTCATGTGCCCCCCAAATTATGATATTAACATGACTGAACAGTGGGGAATGTTAGTGGAATGTTTGTGAACATGAATGGTCTTTTTTTTTTTTTTTTGTCGTGGCACTAAGGTTTGAACTCAGGGCCTCACACTTGCTAAGCAGGTGCTCTACCACTTGAGCCAATCCACCAGCCCCTGTGAACATGAATGAATGAAACTAAATGGAAGGGATTTCAATTAATTTAAAATGTTAAGTCTCTACAGGCAAATACCAGTCAATGTTGATTTGGTGCTTAATTCATCAGACTCAGCTGCTGAATATGTCAGAAATGCTAAAAGCCTCCTCTTAACATTTCTGAACATCTAAGAACTCAATGTTGCGTTTTGTTCCCTAGAAATAAATTTGCATTTCTAATCTGTCTCTAAAGTATGGTGTAAATTAGCCTTGCTTAGAAAGCATGATTATCTGATGCTGGATTGGAAATATCTTTTCCTAGGGAATCCAGAAAAATAAGCATAGCATATTGTCTTATTGCAATGGGATAGGTTTCTTACTGAGAAGTTTCTTCTTCTAAACAGAAACAATTTATGTTTATTTTATGATAGATCACTGTAACTTCTTCATGACTTTAGGTGGGGGAGGAGAAGAAAATGATGGCCAGATCAGGAAAAGAGTATCAAGTGTTCCTAATACCGAAAATAAAACCTTGAGTTTGTTGTAGACTACATTTTATTACTAGTAAGCACTGTATTTCTCCCAAGCCATTTTATCATATTTTAGCATATGAACTACTCTAGAGCCTTTTATATGTATTTCATAGCTGATTTTACAAGCTTTCTCAGTGACTTTCTTTTATACTGTAAGTAGAACCTATTAAAATATAAACATTGTCTAAAACTGTAAAGTTTATTGGAAGGGGGACAGGACTACCTCTGAGTTTAGTCAATTTAGAATATTTGATTCTCAATAAAGAATATTCATATAGCAAATGTTTCTTTTCATTACCTGGAAAACAAATTTTTTGCAATAAAAGTCCATATACTAAACTGATTACCACCAAATAAATCCTAGGGAAACCAAAGTTAGTATCTTTTATGAAACAATAATATTGCAATGACTCTTCAAAAGTCCACAGTCCTTCCAAAACACTTTATATTATATATTCCAAATTAATTTGTATTATGGGACAGCATGTCCTATGGACAAGATGGGTGAAAGGTGTTCCTTCTGGTCAAAAATAACTTGGGGGGCTAGGAACATAGCTTCGTAGAAGCTAGCATGCACTGGACTCAAGTCCCAGTACCACAAAAAAAAAAAAAAAACACAATTCTGGAAAATTCACAACTCACATTGATGTAGTGAAGGATCTGAGAAGTCATGCAGGAAAGAAATGGTCTTCCCAAGTGTACTTAGTCATGGAACCATTTTGTTAATACAGCCTAATGCTATCTCTCCGAACATTCCTGCATTTCCAAACACATTCTGGGCAATGCTGATTGATACTAAGACTTTTGTCCTGGGTTAATTTTATTGACTTTGAAATGCCTTTTGCAGAAACACAGAACATAGTTATAAACAAAGCATTTGTCTCCTACAGGACTTGGAAAACAGCCCTAACCTGCTCAATGCAAATCCAGCTAATATGGATTTTTTATCATAGGACCAAGGTCAGATTCAAGTGTACATCTGTCCTCCAAAACAAGTAAATTTAAATGAAACATGGCTGAGTAGAAAATGACTAAATTATAGTTAGCAATTTCTAAAAAAGTGGTATCTCAGTTTAGAAATTTTTCAAGAGAATTCATTATAGGATTAGGAAACTCTTAGGGAGACATTCCCTCGCATATTTTAGCTACACTTCAGTATTTAAATTTGCAGGTATTAAAGTCGGTGGTAATACGCCTGCAATCCTAGCTATTCAGGAGGCAGAGATCAGGAAGATCAATGCTCAAAGCCAGCCCAGGGCAAATAGTCGGGAGACACTATCTCGGAAAAAAAGACCATCACAGAAAAAAGTGCAGGAGGAGTGGCTCAAGTTGTAAGGGCCCCTGCATAGCAAGCGTGAGGCCCTAAGTTCAAACCCCAGTGCCACCAAAAAATAAAAATAAAAAATAAAGTCCAATGAGCTTCTGGATATAAACCACTCGTCCACTAATACATGGTTAAGTGTTTGACCTCTGGAGATTTAGACTTCTCACATGCTGCTTATAAAAATAAAGTAAGTAGCAGAAACCATGAAAAAGGTTTTTGTTTTTGCTTTAAGAAAAGCCTTTTCAGGTGTTAAAATCTTTGAATCCCATGTGAGGCTGCGTCTGCCTCAGGCACTTCTGTGACCATGTGCTGAGCCTCAGGCTCAGAAGTGCAGGCTGCTTGGGAGGGGCTTAACTGTAGCCTAATTGGCTCATGTACAGAATTTAAGAATGTGAGACACAGCAATTTTTGTTCAAACTATATTTGCAGATGTTAATCACACACAAATCTCAAGGGCAGAGAGCATGGCTCAATTGGTAGGA